GAATTCTGGGAGTTGAAGTCCACACATCTTAAAGTTCCCAAGGTTGAGAAACACTGGCTTACAGCATTAGAAGAGGGGCCTGTTATTTCACATGATCTGGGTTTTTTGCTCGTGTTAATGCACATCAAGATAGCATTTGCCTTTTGAGCGTCCCACTACCGGATCGTGTTTTATTTATGATTGCTAGAACACCCACTTCCTTTCACCGTAAACTTCTGCCAAACCGGGTCTCCCCCATCTTTTATAGATGCCTTTCTTTTTTTCTCCCTATTAAATGCCCTCCGGTTAATCTGGGCTCACTGTTCAGTCTGTCTGAATCTTCACTTTCTCTACAAAATTACTGCCCCCCCCCCACGCCTTCCATGTTGGTATCTCTTGCAGATTTCATAATCATCTCCTTAAGCCCTTCATCCAGATCATTAATAAATAAATAAACCAGGACAAATCTCTTTAATGATTCGGTTCAAGCTTCCAAAGTGAGGTGAGGCATCAAATCGAAATGGATGCCTCCAAATTAATCTGCCAAAATTCAGATGTTTGGAGGCTGGACAGATTTCCCCAACAAGTACACTTTTCCCAAGTCGCTTGGAAAGCAATAATGTTCAATCCTTTTTTTTTTTTCCACATCGATTGAAAACTCCAGATCAAATCAATTCAATGTTACTAACAGATTCAGAATCCTGAAGTGGTTCCGAGTGCTAGAAGGGGACTTCCAGTGTTGTTTTTGACCAGTCCCCCCCAAATTGGACCTTTCCAGATGCTTGTGACCCCAAGCAACAGCACCAACAATCCATGAAGTTTTCTTGGCAACATTTTTCAGAAGAGATTTGCCATCACCTTCTCATCATTCAGGCTCTCTCTGACAATCGGAACCTTTCTGATTTCCCTTCTTTCTCTCTGATCCCATTTCCATATTTGAAAGCTAGAGCAAATGAGGTTGTAAAGTGATGGAGAAATGTGGGAAAGGCAGGGGAGGGGAAAAAACATAAGTAACTTCTCCCTCCTTTCAGTGAAGAATTAAGCTCCAAAGCCTCACCCAAAGGTACTCTAAAAGAAACCTCCGCACCCTGAGAATGAGGTAGAAAAACAGAAGCCTCTTGTGCAAGAGAACAGATCTTGGGGGAAATTGACAACCTTCAGCATACAGTAGTCTATTTCTGACAGCTAAGAATAGGATGTTGAAAATGCTCTGTTAACCCACCATTAAAAGTAAAGTCTTGGAAAGTTCACCTCCATTCTACAGAATGGAGAATCTTCACTTTCTTAAAAGCATCTTCACTTTCTTAAAAGCCGCTGAGCATGGAAGAGGAAAAGAGAAAAGAAAAAGAAAAAAACGTTCTTGTTAAAGGAATATAATCTGTTTTTTTTTTAATAAAGCTGCCATAGCTCAAAAAAAAAAACAACTTAAAAAAGAGATTGGAAGAGAAAAAATGTGCAATAGAATTTCCCTGACTGACACGCATTTTTGGACATGTGGAGAAAACCAATTGCATGATCTCTTCCTTTTCTTTGAGCATATTGTAGTCAGATTGCTCTGGGGCAGTGTTTCTCAACCTCGGCCACTTGAAGATGCCTTGGGACTTCAGCTCCCAGAATTCCCCAGCCAGGAGTTGAAGGCCACACATCTTCAAGTGGGCAAGGTTGAGAAACACTTCTCTGGAGAATAAGTACCTGAGGTTAAGCCCTCTGATTTCAAACCCGGGAGCTTGACTCTTGGCTGGCGGGGAGGTGTGAATGGGCCTCTTCCTTGGTTCAGAGGTGGGTGGAGAAAGGAGGAAGGAGGGAAGGGGAGGGCTGAGCCCAGGTGAGAATAGGCACCCGGGGAGGGGGGACTAGAAATACCTTGGACAGCTGAAGAGAACAGACCGGCAGCAGCTGACCAGGAGAACGCTGCAGATCTCTCCTGCTACTGGGTAAGTCCCGGGAAGAGGGTTGGGGTCCTGTGGCTGGAGATCTAGCTAAGATCGACTTTGGGTGGTCAACTGGAGAATGGGATTGCAAGGGAAGATGGAGCCGTCCAGCCAGAGGCTAATTAAGATGAACTGCAGAAAAATAACTGCATTTCCCCCCTCTCATTGAGAGAACTTGCTTTCAGAGCGTTGGAAAAGTTTGCCTGGGGGTGCTTTTCCAGGTTCTTGTACTTGGGAAGAGGTGGCTAAGGGGTGTCTCTGTGTGTGCGCCTGTGGAAATGCCCGGTCTCTCATTGCACCGGCGTTGTTCTCCTTTCTGCAACCTCCCTGGCTTTTCATCCTTCGCAATAAAGACAGCAGGAGAGGGGCTTGCTTTGGCAGGGGGTAGCCGGGAAATTGCCGAAGGCTGCAACAGGTCGCGTTGCAATAGCTCAGGGTCAGCTGAGAAACCTCACCTGGAGAAGTCCGTAATAAAGTCTCAAGCACCAGGAGATCCAGGAAATAAAACAGGCACCTTTTTTGCGGGTGGGGGGGAGTTGCAGGAATTGGGAGTTTTTCTCCTGGAGCAGCATCAGTTGAAGACTCTGGCAAGTGGCCCTCGGCCCTGGAGCCCCGGGGCAAAGCTCAAAGCTGCTGCCTGCTTTTATGGGGCAAAGAGAGAGGCGACTGATCAAGAGAGCAGCAAAAATGAGAAAAGGGAAAGATGAGGACGAGACGAAGCCAGTAATAGCAAAAGTGTCATTTCGTTTCCCCTTTCCTCTTTCAAAAGTTGTAAAAAGAACCCAAATAAGTCAAAACATCCAACAACTTCCTGTTCTGTTGCTCTCCGCAGGATTTGCGGATTAGATTTTGATCTGGGCTGATCTGGTCCAGAGGAAAGAAACGTGGTTGGTACAATAACAGGGAGTATGCCATGGCAAAAAACCCTCACCAATCTATATAGCTCCTTGCATATGAAATAACTGGAAAAAAGGCACCACAACCCCAGAATTCCCCCACCAGCATTCTTTAGGATGTGTGGACTACAACTCCCAGAATTCCCCAGCCAGCATGCTGCAAGGTAGGCTAGCCGGAGAGTGTGTGACCAAGGCCAACAAACCACTTCTTTAGTGCCTCCCGAAAAACCACATGGCGGTGTGTTCCCAAAATCCCCAAGAGTTGAGCTTCTTGTAGGAGATTTTACCTCCTACAGCCAAACTAACCCTGGGCAAGCAAAAAACCTAAGCAGATCTGTGTGTGGTAGTAATCGGATGAGAGACCACCAGGAGATACCAGGGCTGCGAGCTAGAGCGAGATGTCATAGTTCCTGAAAGGAAGCAACAGCAAACCACTTTTGTAGTCAGGCCAAAAAAGCAGAGCAATTTATGCCGGAGAGATTATGTTGCTGATGGATGGTTTCCTTTTGAAAATCTCCCCGCTGATTAATCAGGGGGGAGGAGACACCTTTTCAGGCTGATTTTAAGTCGATGTTTACAATCTGTTCATCGGTCTATTTGCAACGCCTGGTTTGTTCACACATCTAGATCAGCACGAAGCAGGAAATAATAGCAAGTTTGGGGGAATCTCCAACTTTTCAAAAGTGCAAAACCAATTCAG